ATGCCAAGAATTAGAATGTTTATAGTATTCCACTTCTTTTTAAAAAAATTTATTTCTAAAGGATCAAGAAGCCTTTGCAAAGAGTAAAATATAAACCTATATTCAATTTTCTTCCAATTATTAAGAAATAAACCAACTTCAAGTCTTTCTTATATATGTACTGACTGTGACCTCGCTGTCTTTTTAACTCTCATGAGAATAACTAAAGATCACCTTCCTCTGCAGAGGTACCAACTGTGTATACCTAAAAAGGGAATATTTAAAAATTCTTAAATTCATTTTTGTGCCTTTTTTCCCTATCCTATTTCAAATCAATGTCCTATTTTCTCACATTCTTCCCGGCTGGCAGCTACTCCTTCTGGGCCTTTATCTGGCCTAAGGAAGGCAGGCAAGCAAGCATTTACCTGTGCAGCTGATGCTAGCCCTGTTCCCATGCAGGAGAATGTCTAATCTCCATCTTAAAGGCAGCTTCCAATTGCCCCTGTCTTAAAAAGCCTCTTAACACTTGGGTCCACAGGCTGGGGTCCCCTGTCTTTCTATTGGGAATTAAACCATTTTTTTCCTAGAAGAAAGACTCTTACAGAAAAAGGGAAACAATGAGAACCAACTCACAAGTCAAGTCACGAAAGAAAAAAAATTCACCTGCAGTGTAAACACTGAAGGTAGAAGTCATGTAATAAACACCGTATTTGTAAAATGTCTGAAGCAATACAATTGAAGGAAAATAGCTTTCCGTAGTGGTCTGGCAGGGAGAATTGACTCTGCTGTACAAAATCGTAACTTCCATGAAACCATGGAACTGGCGAAGACTACCAGCAAAGATCATGACAATACTTTCCCTCACCCTGCAGAACAGTCAGTCACTTAACTGGAAATGGCATTTAGCATTCTTGATGTGTTTGACTTTGCATTAGACTATTTTGGGGATATATCCAGAATTATATTTCTATGATTTCAAAGATGCCAGCAAAAGAACAACTTGTGTCCTAGCAATTCCCATGGACATGCTCATCTTTAATGTATCCATTGGTCTGTCAATCACCGCCGAAGTGATGTGCCAGACCCCAGGATGTGCTGCTGTGCCTGTTCTTCAGATCCCTCGTAGTGGTTCAGCCTAGCACAGGTGACCGACCATCACCCTTAGCAAAGATTACTGTCTTTTTATTCGAGTTTCATTCCAAATGGATTTCTGAGTTTTCTTTTCTCTTCTATTGTACAGTAAAAGAAAAATATCACCTGATCTAATCTCTGGGATATAATTTGATAAGCTCAAGGAAAACAGAAAAAAAAGCAACCTTAACAATAAAATACACTAAGAAACTGCCCTTCAATTTTAATTCTATGAAGTACAATCATAAAGTTTGATATACAGAGCAAGCAACATAGTCCCCCAAACTTGGCCCTTCTTCTGGTTTTCCCTTTTTTCTCAAAGGTACCACCGTTACTACAGTCATCTCCTTTCCCACTCCTTACCACGTCCAGTCTTCTATTTTCACCTCTTCCATCCATGGTTTCTCTTTATTTCTTCTGGTACTACCCTACTTCTAAGTGCCACCGCACCTATCCTAGACACCTCAATAACTTACTACATGGGCTCTGCATTCCCACTCTAATCCACATTCTAATTAAATCTTCCTAATGGCTTATTTGCAAATGCTCCCCATGCTCAACTCCTCATTGGCTCCTATTGATTACAGAATAAATCCAGTTCCTTAGCCTATTATTTAAGGGGACCATTCTAGTCTTATCTCACACTTGACAATGTTTTTTCTCAAACATACCCCTACCCTTTTTCTGCTACTCTGTATGTCACATTACTCCCTCTGCCGAGATGACCTTCCTCCTCTCTCTCTCTCCCTCTCTCACTCTGACTTCCTTAATCACTGCCATGCCCCAAGGCCTACCTCACAAATCATGTTATTCCATGGTTTCAATTCCCAGCCAGGCTCATATCCAATCGCTTAATGTCTTCAGTAGAAGGTCCCTAAATGCAACATGTCCAGAGCTAAAATAACTATCTTTGGCAAACTTGCATCTCTCTTTCTGCATTCCCCATGTCAGTGAATGAAACATTTCTATCCATCCAATGCTCAAGAAGCCACGTCATTCTTGACCATCTTCTCTTTTATCAGCACTCTTTCCCATTCTCCACATCATATCAGTCTACAGGCCCTCCGTGGTATCCACTATTTTTCACCCTCACAGTCGCTACCCTTGTTAATGCAGTCATCATTTTTCACTTGAATGCAATATCATACCTGCCTCCCTTCCTGTCTTCCTCCAACATATTCTTCACATTGCGTTCAGAAAAAAACTTTCAAGAAAAACCCCCAAATATGATCATATCCATTCCCTGACTGAAAATTTTTAACTGGCTCCTCATTGCCATTAGGGTAACATCCAAACTTCCTAGTAGGGCATACAAGCCCTACTAAGTGTCTCTTTTGATTTCTGCCATAGTTTCTAGCACTTTGCACAAGATAAGCATCCTCTTTGTCTGGAATAGCATCCTCCCTTGACTAACTCTTATTTATTCTGCATGTCTCAGCTTAGATATCTCCTCTTCATGTCCTGAAATCTTTCCTATCCCTTCCTGGTTGGATGCCGCTTGGTATTGCACATTTCTCTATATTACGAAAATAGTAACAATCACAGCACTTATTTCATTGTACATATTGTCTTATGATAATTCATATTATTAAACATGATTGGTTTAATATTCAATGAATGAATATACAAAACATTTAAC